GGCGGGGGGGCTGGGGGCTCGCGTCCTACCTGGTGGTGGGAGACCTCTTCCTCCGCTCGCAGTGAACCGCATCGAAGAAGGCAGCGTTCCAAAACCTCAGGTTGTGCCTGTCGAGGAGGAACGAGATGGTCACGGTGGTGACCCACGAGCCAGCCCTCCGACCAGCCCTCTGGCTCCTTGGGTGATGATTCAGTGGGGGCTCAGCGAGTCCGCAAGATTTGGTCCACTTTGCAGATGGGGATCATTGCAAATAGGAGCCTCTCTCTAATGTTCCACAAAGGCTCTATCCTGCCCCCGTCACCCATCTGTGCTCCTCGCACAGGCCACAGGGTCAGCCAGGACCAGCTCCCCAAACCAGCCCCTGTGTGGTCGTAAACACACTTTCTCGGGGAAAAGGGATGTGCAAAGGCACAGCCATCTCTTGTAGGGGCAGCAACAACTTAAAAGCAATCATGAGAGTTTGGGAAAAATGCAACGTGTGGGCAGGGCGGTCAAATCCCCTCTTGCATTTCTGTTCCCAGCTCCGGGGAGCCTCATGCGAGGCAGGAGCCCAGCTCGCTCTGCGTAGGTTTACCAGATAGGCTGCTGCTTGAGGTGCATGTACAGGTAGATCTTCTCTCCTTTCTTCTCCTCCTCTGGGCTCTGCACAGAAACTGTGGGGAAGCACAATGACACATGCGGCCTGGACGATGTCCACCCTCTCACCCACACGTGGACTTTGCATTCCCTGCCAGGTGTCCAAGCGGCCACCACGGTGAGGTTTGCAGATCAAATGCTTGGCGCCAGCACATCCTCAATGACAAGCAGAGGAGCGCTTGCCTCCCTTTGCAGGCAGACATGAAGTCTGATAGAGGCACACAGGTCCTGGGAGGATGCTCAAGGGCTGGACCACTGCTTCAGCAGCACACACAGCTACTGGGAGGGCAACAGGAGCAGCAACACCAAAAATCAACAGATCAAAAGTGACCAAAAGTTTCAAAATGAGCACATCTCAAAATGAAGCTCAAAGCTCAGAGGCAGCAGACATCCAAAGCTCTCTGAAACCTGACGCCACCAGGGACGAGATGCCATTGGCTCCCTTCTGGGATGGGACATGGTACTGCCCCAAAACAACAAGCTAAAAAGGCTCCTTTGGAGCACTTCTTCAGGAGCTCAGGGGAGATATCACCAGTCCTTCCTGCCACATATCTCTACCCCACAGCTCCAGCAACACCGAGCATCTCACACCACTTCCAACCCTCGCTCCTTCCCCAGCAGATACCTTGCCCTGCTTAACTCAGCAACACTGGCTCCACTCACCTTTCTTCTTCAGCTTCTCCTTTGGCTTGTCCTCCCCTTCACTTCTGTGACACAGAAATCGGCATCAGCTCCAAAGAAGCCTGTCCCCACACAGCCCATGCGGCAAAGCCCTGGCTCCATTGGCAAGGGAAGCACCTTCACTTTAAAGACCGCCCCCCCTGCTCCCACATCATGGTCCCCAGGGCCAAAAAGCTGGCCAGCAACATCTCCTGCACTGCCTTCCCACAGCATCAACAAGCCCTGGCTTAGGGGTGTCCGTGCCCAGGAGGTTTCAGGCTCAGGCGCGCCACGAGTGCGTTGGGGGGTGTCCCCCGCCGTCTTCCGGGCTGGGGGGCCCTTCAGTTTGGTCTCCAGGCCCCCGAAGAAGCCTTTCACATTCTCCGTTTTGGCTGACGTGTTCTTCAGCAATCGCTCTGCGATGTCCTTCTTCTCGGCCAGCCAACTGTTTGCTGACTTCAGGTATGAGTCGATGCTGCCCGTGGGCTTCTCCTTGGTCTCCAAGGGCGGCGCGTGTGGTTTGCCTGTGAAAACCAGCAGGAGCTCAGTGGGTTCTTGGGTCCCACAGCAAACATACGGCTGGGCTAACCCCTGTGGCAAAGAGCACCGCTCTCACAGCTCAGTGCAGCAGCCGCCACCAGCTCCCAAAGGACCTGCTCCAAGCGTTGCTGAAGATGCACCACAAAGACCAAGAGCCAGCATGAAATGACCCAGTCTCCATCCCATCCCACATCTTGTAGGTTTTTCTCCTCTCTCTATTTTGGATAGAAAACCCAACCTCCCGAGAGGCACGACACATCAAGCAATGAGCAGAGGTGTTTCTGGGCTGGGGGATTCATGTCGCATCCCCAGCATAAGGGGACATCTGGGAAACCACCGCATATAAGTATCTCTCACTAGCTCAGGTACGAGAAGCAATGACAAACCAATGTCAGCATGAGCTCCCAATACAACTAGGGTCTCCAACAGGTTTGCACAGCCTCTGTGCTGTGAAGGCTCTTCTCCTATCGGTATCTGAGTCAGCCAGCATAAACCAAGCTCAGGTACGCCTTCCATTACCCTTCCCAGTGCCGGGCAAACCTCAACACCTGGGTCTAAAGCATTTCACCATCTGTCTCCAGCACAAGAAAAGCTCGGGGGTGCAGACACCTCTTACCGATGTAGTAGTAAGTGAAACACATGGTCATTAGATTCTTGGCAGGACTGAAGTCATCCATCTGGTGACACCTGAAATCAAGGGAGAACTAGATGAAGATGCCTGGCAACAGCAACCGAAGCAGCCTAGTGGTTCCTGCTTGACCCTTCCTGTAGCTGTGGCTCTGCTCTCACCAGGAAAGGGCAGCTCCCGTCCAGCAAAGCCCTCAGAGCACCAGAGCAACCGCCTCTACATAGCTGCCCCAGCATCTGCTGAGCTCACCCTGCACGGAGACCAGCAGCAGCGAGTCCCGGCAGCAACCCCATGCTCAGGGCTGCAAGGCATCTAGCTGGGTCAAGCCCAGCTCCATGCTCAGGCTAAAAAGCCCTGATTTTTGGCAAGGTTTATTAACTGGGGCAAAGCTGGCTAGCCTGCAGCCAGACCCCACTGGCTTCAGCATCTGCGCTGTGCTCCTCCTCGCCTGCTGCCTAGCTTAGGTCTGTCTGCAACCATCCGACAGGCCACGACACGTGGGACACCCCAGCCCTGGCAATGCTTCCCCGCTGTTGTGCTTCGCACTAGCCTTCTGCTTCCTTGCACCTAAGAAGCAGGGCAGGTCACAGACAGAGGTCTCCTGCCCCTCTGGATTAGTGGGGAGATCCCAGGGGCTTTAGGTGATTACAGCAAAGCTGAAAACCCCACCACCACTTACTCAAACAGCACGAGGGCGAAAGATTGCATCAGGCGATAGAAGGTCTGCTCCGAGACACACTTGGAGTTGCAGCGCTGCAAGCACAAACCCAGATCCAGTTTAGCACAGCTATCCCGAGCCGCTGTCTGCAACAAGTGGCAAAGACGACCGCAGCTCCCCAAGGTCCCCAAAGGAAGGTGGCCAGAAAGTACTTCAATCAGACCTCCATCTCGGAGGCAGCAGTTTGAATTCCTGATTTGTTTTTCTAGGGACTGGGACGTTTCTGAGTGCTCATCTTATATCATTTTATATAAACAGATAACTTCTCTCCCCCATTACAACGATCATATTTTTAAGTGCCTCAGGATGCATTTATTTACTTCTGTATCTTACTGTACTAAACCTCCTCCCTTACCCCCAAGTTCCCGCCCTCCAAAAATATTGCTCTTGGGCACTGCCAAATTTCCCTGGCCTGCACCTTTCGCCCCAGCTGCTCCCCAGTCGCCGGTACAGGATAGCTCCTGTATACCTATTTGTACAGATAAACAGATATTCTGCCCAAATCTCCCCTTACCTGGGCGCTCACGTATCGTGCGAACCATTCCCTGCCCTTCCCATTCTCGCCGCTGCAGAGCTCACCAAACTTGGCCTTCTCTTCTTGGTCCAGATCTTCTCTGAAGCAGAAAAAAGGCAAAGGAAAAAAAAAATCGAGAACGTGCCTGGTGCCCCCGCTGCAGCCGGCACGGCGGCTG